GGTGAGCTGTATGATAGGAGGCAGAGAGCTAAGCTAAATTGTTTCAGAGGGAGGTGGAAGCTGACACGATGCCTCACTGAGTAAAGATGTTGCCAAATCTGAGTTCAATCCCGGGATCCCTCATGGTGGAAGAAAAGAAAAAGACCTGACTCCTGAAAGTTGTCCTCTGGCGGCCACACTCCTGCCCCACACATGCACGCACATGTGAAATTCACAAATTAATGTAAACTAAAATAAAAGGAGGAAGAGAGGAAGCTCAGAGGCAGGGTGCTTGTCTTTAACACATGAAGCCCTGAGTTTGGTCCCCAGCACCATGGTGGGATGAGAGGATGGGCTGTCAGTTGACATACAGGAACGAGCTGGAATAATAGAGGTTAGTTAACGGTTGACATCTTACCATAGTCAAATCGGATCTTTTTTACTTCATTTTGGTTTGTTTTTGAGACGTCTTACTATGTAGCCTAGGCTGGCCTCAAACTCCCAATGGAGTCAAGGACCACTTTGCAGTCTGGATCCTCCTGCCTCTGCCTCCAGAGTCCTGGGATTGCAGGCATGTGCACACCATGAGGTGTGCAGGGAATTAATGAGGTGCAGGGAATTAAACTCTATCAACAGAGTCACACCCCCAGCATGTAGTCTTATTCGATTTTTTTAAGATTTTACTTTTATTTCATTATATATGAGTGTTTTGACTGTAAGTATATCTGTATACCACATGCATGCAGTGTTTGCACAGGTCAGAAGGGGGCATCAGATCCCTTGGGATGACAGGAGTCTGATCACAGATGGTTGTGAGCCATCATGTGGGTGCTGGGAATGAAACCCAGGTCCTCTGGAGGAGCAGTCAGTCTCTTAACCACGGAGAACTCTTCTTCTTCTTCTTCTTCTTCTTCTTCTTCTTCTTCTTCTTCTTCTTCTTCTTCTTCTTCTTCTTCTTCTTTTTTAGGCAGGGTGTCTCTGTGTAACAGTCCTGGCTGTCCTGGAACTTGCTCTGTAAACTAGGCTGGTCTTGAACTCACAGACATCTGCCTGCCTCTGCCTCCAAGTACTGGAATTAAAGGCGTGTGCCACTGGTGCCCAACATCCTTTTTCCTCTTTTTAAAAAACACTTTCTGGGCTGGAGAGATGGCTCAGCGGTTAGGAGCACTGGCTGTTCTTTCAGAGGCCCCAGGTTCAATTCCCAGCAACCACATGGCAGCTCACAACCATCTGTAGAGAGATCTGATGCCTTTTCTGGCCTGCAAGCATACATGCAGGCAGAACACTGTATACATAATAAATAAATAAAACTTTAAAAAATAATTTACTCTGTGTGGGGGGGCATGTGTCTGTGGAGACCAGACTACAACTTAGGGAGTCAGTTCTGTACTAGGCTTCCACAGTGGAAGTCCCAGGGCTTGAACTCGGGCTGTCAGTCTGGCGGGGAGTGCCTTTGCACATGGAGCCAACTCGCTCTTGTCTTATTCCTTCAGTAAAGATGACCCATTCAGGACACAATTAAAGGTTATTTTTTAAATAGGATTTTTAAAATTATAAATAGAATCTCAAATATTAACAACTGAAAATAAATTCACACTATGAACTCTGTGTGGCCAAGGTAAGGAAATGCCCCAGGGTGCCAGAGAGCCTTGTGGAAGGTGAGTTGAAGGTATTAGGAGGCCAAATAACAGGTCGAGGGCACCGAGCAGATCTGCAGTCAGCGTTTGAGCCTCTGTGACCACAGATCTCACAGTCCGCTTTGCCTTGAAAACTGCCTGAAGTTTGGTCATATGACACAAGAAATCAAGCCTTAGACAGGGCTGAGGTTGGTCCCTGACTCAATCCCCTTAATTGACTGAGATCAAAATGTCCGGACAATATAATGGCCCAAGAGAATCTTTGTGAAGAGTATAGCTAATATAAGGCTTTGCTAGGTAAGCTTTGGAAATACTATTTATATTAATATTCCTAAAGTCCTGTAAACAACGGGACAACAGAAGGCCAGGAGTGAGCCCCAGAACCCTCAGCCTCCTCAAACGAATCAGCTTCCACCTCCACTATGAAGCCTCCCAGGTTTTCCCTCCATACCCCACGTATTTCCTTCCCAGAGCTCAGGCCTCCTGCTGTATCTTCTACCAATCAAGGAAGTCCCCATGACACACTAGGGGTGAATTTAGATCAAGTAGACTCCCTGACTCAAAAGTCCAAGGCCTCCCCACCATATATGTCCATGCTTCAGATGGACTGGAACTCTGGTCTTGATCCTTGGCTAAACTCTTGGGAAGTTGCTGACACCTTGGGACCTCCTGAGTTGGAAGTGAACCTGAGACACCCTGGTCCCTGTTGGAAGAGGGTACTCTGAGGGCAGGAAGGACAGCCCAGGAGCTTACAATGTTGCCCATAGTGCATCACCCTACATCACACAACACAGCCCTGGCTCCATGACTCCAACTTCTATGGGGTACCATCCAGCTTGCTCTTTTTCTCTTATATGATTCAGTTCTGGGACTGAACCTAGGCCTCACGCATGACAGCGAGGCAAATGCTCTACCCCTGAGCTATACCCATAGTCCGTCCTCTTTTTACCCTTGACTTGGATTCCCCTGTCTCAGCCTCCTGGCTAGCTGGAGCTACAGGCCTACACCACCAGATCAAGGATGCTTTTACTTCTCTATGCTTCCTAGAAGGACAGCTGGCCCTGCTGACACTCCATTTGGAGGAGGACATGAGGCCTCAGAACCAGGTGGCCATGGATCCCAACATCATTGTAGAGGCTCAGCTGGTACCAGGGGATGGCTCAGTGGCAGCCAAAGAGGGAGGCAAGAGGGACTTACCTGTGGGCAGAGTCTGACCCCTGAGAGCCAGGAAAAGCAGCAACCATGTCCTAGCCATGGCCCACTCGAGAAGAGGCATGATCCAGCTTCAGCCCTGAGGTGTGAGCTGGGAGAGGAGGTTCCCTAGACTCCCTCCCAGGCCACAGGCCCAGCTGCAGCCCTGAGGTGTGGGCTGGGGGAGGCGGCTCCCCAGACTCCCTCCCAGGCCTCAGGCCCAGCTGTACCTCAGCTGCTCTGCCACGAGCTGAGCCGTTTCTCTCCCCCTAGTTCTCAGACCTCTCCGGGGAGGAGGGGTGTCAGGCACTTCAGGTGGCACTCCCATCCCAGGAGCTGGGTGCCCACCCAAGGTGCATGGCGGGACCTCCACATACAGCTCTTCATGTCATCCTCCAGCTGCTTCACCTCACAGACAAGGCAACTGAGCCTCAGGGAGACTGAGCGGCCTGCCCAAGGTCACAGCTGGCAGAGCCAAGGTTGAACTTTTTTATTATTTTTTTTTTTACTTTATGTGTGTGGGTATTTTGCCTGTATAGATGTCTATGTGCCAGTATGTACCTGATGCCCAAGGGGGACAGAGACTGGCAGATCTCTGTGAGTTTGAGTACAAGGTGAGTTCCAGGACAGCCAGGGCTACACAGAGCGATCCTGACTCTCTCTCTCTCTCTCTCTCTCTCTCTCTCTCTCTCTCTCACACACACACACACACACACACACACACACACACACACACACACACACATACATACATACACACACACACACACACACACACACACACACACACACACACTGTTTTTAATTATGTCTATGTGTGTGTCTAAGGCATTGGATCTCTGGAGCTGCAGTTACAGAGGATTGGGAGTCACCTGACGTAGGTGCTGGGAACCAAACTCAGGTCCTCTGCAAGAGCAGTATGTGCTCTTAACCGCTGAGCCATCTCTCCTGCCACCATTCTTGTTCTGTTGAGGTAGGGTCTCATGTAGTCTAGATGGCCTTGAGTTTGCTATGTAGCCAAGGATGGTCCTCCTGCCTCCACCTCCCAAGTGCTGGGTTATTTCTCTAATATGTTTATTCATTCTTTGGCAACCCCACACCTGGATCCGCCCCTAGTTCTCCCTTCCCTCTCCCCTGCACAGCCCCAGCTCTCCTCCTATAAGCATTATGACTTCTCTCTTTTGTTCTAACCCGGAGGCCGGTTAGTGGCTGGACCGCTGACTGATCTTGTCAGAACTGCGTGCAAGTTGGCACAGCTGCAGTGAGTTCATGAGCACCAAAGCCATCTTCTGTCTAGAAGAGAGGGTTTCCCAGCGCTCCTCCCCATGCTGTGGTTCTTACTCTTCCCAGCTCCTTCTCCACATGATGTTTCTTCAACCTGGTGAGGGGTGGGGTGGTGATGATGGAGATGTCCCATTTGGAGCTGAGCACTCAACAGTTGCTCATCTGGACCAGCCCTGAGTCCTCTGCAGTAGCTGCTGCCCCTGCAGAAGAAACGTCTCTGGCCAAGGTTGCAGGCAGCACTGTATTGTTTTGTTTTTGAGACAGGGTTTCACTGTGTAGCCTTGGCTGGCCTGGAGCTCCGTAGACCAGGCCAGCCTTGAACTCACAGAGATCTACCTGCCTCTGCCTGCCGAGTGCTGGGATTAAATGCATGCAGCCCCATGCCTGGCTGTATTACTTTTTGACATGGGGTCTTTCTGTGTTGCCCCCGATGGCCTCATAGAGTCTGAGCAGGAGGCTGGTAAAGTGCTTGCCTGCCATGCGTGAAGCCCTAGTCGGCCCCGTGGTTGGGATGAATCTCTCCCACCCACACCCCACAGCCACTTGGTCCCAAGTAAACACACAGAGGCTTATATTACTTGCAAACTGTATGGCATATGGGTCAGGATTCTTGCTAGCTAGCTCTTATAACTTAACCCATTTCTACGAATCTATATGTTGCCACGTGGCCGTGGCGTTATGGGTCTGCTGACATCTTGTTGCTCATTGGGTGGCGGGCTGGAGTCTCCTCTCACTCTCGTTTCTTCTCTTCAGTTCAAATGTCCCACCTAACCTTATTCTGCCTCACCATTGGCCAAACAGCTTTATTAATCAACCAATCAGGGCAACACATATTCACAAAGTACAGAAAGACATCCCACAGCACCCTAGGTTTGATTCCCAACTGCATAAACCAGGTAAGGTGGTGTGCTGGTAGTCACAGCTCTGAGGTGGAGGCAGAAGCATCAGAAGTTCAAGGTACAAAGAGAATTTGAGACCAGCCTGAGATACATGAGACCCTGTCTCAAAAAACCAACAATCAAAAAACAAATTCTGGTCCTCCAGAAGAGTAGCAAATGCTCTTAGCAACTGAACCATCTCTCCAGCCTTTCTTTTTCTCTTTTGTGTTTTTGAGACAGGGTTTCAAGGTATTGCCCAAGATGGCCCCAACTCTCCACCCTCTTGCTTCAAACCGCCCAAGTGCTGGGATTACAGGCCCTTGCAGCCATGAGCAGCTGATTTCCTAGGTCTAGATGGCTATCCTAAGATGGATATCCTAAGTGGCACGAGGGATATCTAATTACAGTGTGGTGGGGTATTCACCAAAGAAGACTGCTCGGACATGGGTTTAAGCCAATAGAAAGTCTTTATTAGCCGTCCAGCGCTTATACTGAGTGTTGGGGATCCCAGTGTAATGGTGAGTCTTTCTTAGGGTGAGCTTTTAAGCACAAAAAAACATGTTCTGGGTTGACATACTTCAGTTAACAAGCACAACTAGCCAGAAAAGGAACTACAGAAGCCAAAAAGCAAGGTTAGTCCATTGGAGACTTTCCCAGAACTGTGGACTTGGACGGAGTAGGCCTTTGTTTTCATTTGGCAGGTGCTGCTGTCTACATGCTGAATTTACCATGGCTCTTCCATCATGGAGACCTCAGCTGTCTAAGGTCTGGGGACCGAAGGGCTGGGGACCTAAGGGCTGGGGACCGAAGGGCTGGGGACCTAAGGGCTGGGGACCTAAGGGTTGGCGCCGTTAGAATGATTTTGTTGCATTTTCCTAATGGTTGGTAACATGGAGCATAAAGGTCTTATCTATTTAGAAAAGGTCTTTTGTCGGGATGTGGTGGCACACGCCTTTAATCCCAGCAATCAGGAGGCAGAGGCAGGCAGATCTCTGTGAGTTCAAGGCCAGCCTGGTCTACAGAGCGAATTCCAGGACAGCCAGGGCTGTTACACAGAGAAACCCTGTATTAAAAAAAAAAAAAAAAGAAAGAAAGAAAAGAAAGGAGGAGAATGAGAAAAGAAGAGAAAAGGTTCCCACGCCAGCCACGGACTCTGATCCACGGGCTACCACCTCCAGAATGCTGGCATGCCTGCCCACTTTTTTCAAATCTGTAGTTTTTTTTTTTTTTTTTTTTTGTTTTTTTTTTTTAGGGACCAGTAAATGGATTTTAAACCTAGAAAGCCCTCCCCGGCTAGAGAATTGATATCTTCTCAATTCTGCTTTCCACTGGAGCTGAGCACAGGGTGGGAGTTTGTGCTACCCCAGTATGCCAGAGGGTTCCAGGCCAGTCATGACTGCAGCCTGAGACCCTGCCTCAAAAAACAAAAGGAAAACGAAAACAAAAACAACTGTCTTTATTTGAGAGCGCTAAGTTCAGTCTCACCCACTCCACCTTCTCTCCGATAGGAGATAATTTTGGCTTGTGTAAAGCACACAGGTTTTGCAAAAAACTAATTAGTAACCCCAAATTACTCGCAGAATAGCACCTCCCGACTCTTGAAGGCTCCTTATTGCACGCTGGTGTCTGTTCTGTGCAGAGTCTTACTTCTTCCTCCCCTTTCCTCTTGTGCCAGCCTCACCCGCCGTGTGCCATTGTGCCGCAAGGGCAGTTGTAATGGCCGCTTGCCTGCCCTCTCCTGGGCCTGCGCAGGTGCTGGCCTTGGGTGCGGCGGGTTCCACCGCGTTCCCAGGCCCTGCTGTGCCCAGGTGCAGCCGTGGTGGCTTCCCCCCTGGGAGGATGGGTGGCAGGTGTCCCTAACGACTCTGCCTCTGCGTTCTCCAGCCTGGGGAGAGTGCTGCCCTGGCCCTGCGACCACAGTGCACATGGGAGAGGCCCCTGGGGACGCCTTCAGGGGACAGAAAGGTGGGCTGGTTTGGCGACCCCCTGCCCGGCCCCAGCTGCCGCCTCCCTCTTGGACTGGCTTCCCCTGCCTGTCGTCCTCACATCTGTTTTCTCTCTCCTGAGGCCCCAGCTCTCCCTGGCCCCAAAGTCTCGCTGCTCTCAAGATCTTCGCCCAGGGCACACCAGCATAAGCCTGTCACTTGCAGGTTGGCAATGAGACCCAGACAGCTGACAACCCCTGCCCAGGGCCTTAACTGCCTGTTTCCAGCTGAGGAACCCAGGCTGAGGAAAACCAAGCTACATCCCCGAGGGTATTTATTCTAGCAAGCCATGAAGGTGCTCAGGTGTGCTAGGCAGACCCTCTACCTGTCTTTGGCTTCTACATGGCCAGGATGACGTTAACTTTGTTCAGACCAGGGAGTCCAGTGCTGCTGACCTGCCTGGTGACTCATCTTCAGAGCAAGGCCAGGATGCTGATAGCCTGCCCCTTCCCTCTTCTTTTGTGTGATGTATATTGCCTATGTACGCATATGACGAATGTGTGTACATGTGTGCACATACGTATGTGAGTGAGGGTTCCTGCTTGCACAGAACATATATGGAGTCAGGAGACAACTCCAGATGTCTACCCTTGCCTTCTACCTTGTTTGAGACAGGGTCTCTCTTTTGTTGCTCCAAGATGGCTCCACAAACTTCCGTGATTCGCCTGTTTCCACCTCCCATCTTGCCTAGGGTCACCAGGAATCTGGACACATGCTGCCACACCCAACTTTTAGGAGGATCCTAGGGATTCAAACTCAGTCCTCATGCTTGCTGGGCAGATGCTTTACCTCTGAGCCATCTCTTCAGGCTCCTTCCTCCCCCTCCTCCCTTCCTCCCTCCATCAACCCCCCTTGAGACATCTTGCAATGTAGCCCAGGCTGGCCTTAGACTACTATTCTCCTGCCTCAACCTAGGATCACAAGCATGAGCCGCCACATGTGGCTCACCCCTACATTTCTTGATGACTTAGTCAGGGGAATGTTTTCTGGACTCTTCCGATGTGTGGCTAGGACTAAAGTCCACCCAGTCCACCATTCTCATCGCCAAAAAATTCTGATTCCAGATCCAGGGTGCCAGGGCAGTTCTAGCATTTCAAGCTTCTTAACTGTGGGCTGCTATTAAATCTTTACGGCTTTAATTAACCAAACAACAGACTACTAGCGCCCTTCCCAGGTGCTGAGCCAAACATATCAAATCCCAAATCTTGGCTGGGCATCCATGAAATGAACTTGGATAACCTAGCATTCCAAGGGTCCTGTGTTCTCCACCCTCCCTCCTCCTCCTCCTCCTCCCTGGGAGACAGGGTCTCATGGAGCCCAGGCTGCCCTGTAACTTGAACTTCTGACCCTCCTGCCTCCATCTCCCAAGCGCTAGAATTACAGGAAGACACTGCTGTGCCTGGTTTAGGTGGTGTTGGGAGTGGAACTCGGCTTCATGCACACTAATGCTCTATCAAGTCCACTACAGCTCCATCTGAGTTTGTCTGTGTGTGTGTGTGTGTGTGTGCATTTATGTGTGTATATGTGTGTATGTATGTGTGTATGTGTGCATGTATATGTGTGTATGTATGTGTGCATATACATATGACAACACATGTGTGGAAGCCAGAGGACAACTTATACCCAGAGTTAGTTCTTACTTTCCACATTGTTGGAGTAGGGTCTCGTTTTTTTGTCACTGTGCAACATATCTATCTAGATCTAGGACACAGATGTAGCTATGTGGATACAGACATGTGAAGTCTCTGACCCATCTCAGAGTCCCTCCCTCACTGACTTACCTTTCTTACTTTTGCAAATGAGATCTGGGAGGCCAGGTGTGGGAGTTCATGCCAGCATCCCAGGACTGGAGACTTAGGTGGGAGGTTGGCAAGTTCAAGGCATCCTGGGCTATAAAATGAGCTCCTCTAAAAAGAAGGGGGGTGGGCGGCTCCTGGAAGGGCTGAGCATTTAATCAGAACTGGAACTTGGTGAACTTGGTGATCTTACAGTGACATCTCAAGGCCAGCCTTCAGCCAGGGTGCCATTCCCAGCTGCCATCAAGATGCTCCGGGTGCATCCTCACATGACGACAGATGTTGGGGACCCCTTGTGCGTCTCCCATGAACACCAGAACAAGCAGCTTGGCCATGCAGAACCAGTCCCATCACCTGTCCCCTCTTTCCTTACAAAGAATGAGATCATCAGTCACATGCTTGTCCCCTTCTGAAACGTGGGAGGTCCAACCCTAACCCCCCACCCCCCATGCCCTGTCTCAGGTCTGCCCTGGAGGAACCACGTCTAGTGTTGGTGAGGAAAGACATGAAAGTGACACAAGACACTGGAAAACCTAAGGAGGTTTTAGCAGAGTCCACTGACAGATGTGACAGATGTGGACAAGGACAAGGGAATTCCCAGAGGCAGTGTACACATGAGGGAGTCATGTGTGCATTGGGAACAGTGTCAGGGCCCTCGAATCAGAGCAGTGTGGAGGGGCTGCCGCCAATGTGATCCTCCTGAAAGGGGGGAAACAAAGAAACGTGTTGCTGGCCTTCTCTTCCTCCTGCTGCTCTCTCCCACCTCCTTGTCAGACCCCAAAGCCAGAAGCCAAGGGAGCTTACTGAACCAAGTGAGGGTGTTAGGTCCAAGAAGTTAGGTGAAGTAGGACAGAAAGAGGGCCTGTAGGGGCCACAGGAGAGATCACTGAGGATCCTTAATAATGACTCTCAGGGCTGGAAAGATGGCTCAGTGGATAAAAGCATTGGCTGTTCTTCCAGAAGACCAGAGTTCAAGTCCCAGCACCCACAGGATGGCTAACAACCAAGGACTCTGTCGCCCTCTTCTGGCTTTTGAGGGCACTGCATACATGTGGTGCACAGACAGATGCACATAAAACGAAAATAAAGGGAAAAATTAAAAAGATAATGGCCTCATCAAGCAGCCCTTGGGATCCTAGCTAACCAGCAGGGGTATCTTGGAAACAGGGCAATTGGGTGACAGAAAGCCTGCAGCTGAGATAAATAAAAGAATTGGCCCCAAAGTTTCACAGTGCCCAGGTGGGACCAAATACACTTGAAAGTCTCCATCATTCACAGACTCTTTATTTCACCTGGCAGGTAACATGGACATCACATCATCATGTGCCACACCATGTTATTTATGTGAAAACTACATGTAGAGGATGTTGTCATAAGCCCTTACTCCCATGACTTTTGTCCCTGGCAGGCTGTGGTGTCTCCAGGCCAGCGACCTGTAGGCCAGCCCTTGGCATTGAGCACAGGCTATCCATCAAGGTTTTGTGTCAACTTGACACAAACTAGAGTCGTCAGAGGAAGGAGCCTCAGCTGAGGAAATGCCTCCATGAGATCCAACTATAAGGCATTTTCTCAGTTATTGATCAATAGGGGAGGGCCCAGCCCATGGTGGGTGGTGCCATCCCTGGACAGGTGGCCCTGGGTTCTATAAGAAAGCAGGCTGAGCCGGGCGGTGGTGGCGCACGCCTTTAATCCCAGCACTCAGGAGGCAGAGCCAGGCGGATCTCTGTGAGTTCGAGGCCAGCCTGGGCTACCAAGTGAGTTCCAGGACAGGCACCAAAACTGCACAGAGAAACCCTGTCTCGAAAAACCAAAAAAAAAAAAAAAAAAAGAAAGCAGGCTGAGCAAGCCATGGGGAGCAAGCCAGTAAGCAGCTCTTCCCATGGCCTCTGCATCAGCTCCTGCCTCCAGGATCCTGCCCTGTTTGAGTTCCTGCCCTGACTTCCTTCAGTGATGAACAGCAATGTGGAAGTGTAAGCTGAACAAACCTGTGTCTTGGTCATGTTGTTTGGTCAGAGTGATAGAAACCCTAAGACACAGGGGCTCCCCAGAGCAAACAGAAAGAGACTAGCCATACCAGCACACTCTAGGTTTGATTGAGAGGTTCTACTTCATTAAATAAGGTGGAAGAATGATCTAGAATGATTCCTGATATCTACCTCCATATGCATGTACACTGTGTGTCCTCACCCCCACCCCACATTAAAAAAAAAAATCAAGACTATATCGTGAGTTCAAGGCCAGCCTTGGCTACATCGACCTTGAAAACCCACGGACCGGGGATAAAGTTGTGGTCCTACCTGCTGCGCCATCTCACTCCCTTTTTTGTTTTTCACTTAGTGAGTTTTTAAATTACACCAATTACGCATTACTTACTGATTTCTGGGGTGTGCCAGATTAAGCTGTTTACTGTTATTTATTTACCTCTTTCAGTATGTAGCCCAGGCTGGCTCCACGGCCCTAGCATACGGTATTACAGGCATGGGTCACTGCATTCTGTTCAGGCTAGCTTTGACAACTTCAGAAACCTGAACATCGGAGCCAGGAGGTATAGCTCAGCAGACACTGTGGGAGATGGCGAGAGTCCTTGACTCAAAACCAAAACAGGCAACAAAACACACCCCAACAGCGGCAAGAACAAACCAACCCTGCGATGTGGTGCTTAGTGCACAGTTAACAAGAGAGGTGTGGAGAGAGAGCTCGAGCTCGGGAGCAGCAGACAGAATCACAGCCTGGACCACAGAGCGAGGCCCGGCCTCAAAAACAAAGACGACTCAGCGGGTCCTGCTGCTGCCTGTGCGCGCGGCTGCACGTGAAGAAGGGAAGCGTTTTTGCAGCTCTGCTTCCGCACACTTGTCCCAGAGGGCATGAAACTTTACTTTTTGACTCGTCCATCACTTTTTTTTTCTTTTATAATTTCTTCTAAGCACATCCCACATTGTGGGATGAGAGCTGGGGGTTAACCGAGCCTGCAGCTTCAGCAGGAACAGCTCGTGTTCTGGAGGTCAACCCGGGCTAGACCGTTTGGTACGGTCTGAGGTTCCCCCTCCCCTTCCCGCGAAGGTGGTTGCTCCCACACGGCCCGGAAGTGCTCGCGACGGGTCCCGGGGGTGGACTGGTGGCGGGACATGGAGGTGCGGGGCCGTGTGGACAGTCCGAGCGGAGCACTGGCGTCTGCCGAGCCGGTTCCGGCTTCGGTGACCCTGGCGCAGCTCCTGCAGCTGGTCCAGAAGGGCCAGGAGCTCCCGGGTCTGGAGAAACGCCACATCACTGCGATCCACGGCGAACCCACGGCGTCGCTGCTCCCGCGGAGGCCCAAGCCCTGGGAGGACGCGGGCTCGGCCGCATCGGCCCGCACCGCCGCCCTAGACGCGCGCACGCAGTCCCTGACCGTCGGGGAGCCGGCCTGGGTCAGCCCAGCGGCCCAGCTCGGCCGAGGCCCGGCAGATGCCTGAGCTCGAGGGCTTTTACCGCCGAGATCCGGAGGGCGGGACTGGGTCCTGCAAGAACCTGAGAGTCTGGACAGCTGCCACCCTTACGCATCTTTCTGCATCTGCGCTGACCTGTCTCAACCGGACCCAGTCTTCCCGGGAGACTCAACGTTGCCCAGGAATTTTGGGTTTGGACGCTGAATTTCAACTGCATACCGTGTTCTAGTCCGTCCGTGTAATTGAAAAAGCCTGTTTTACCACCTTCAGTCTGTTTCACTTGTCACAGTAACCTCCTGGGCCACCTTCTAATGATACTGATAAAGTAAACCCGAGAACCAAGTCATTTCTAATTTTGCAGTCGTTTGGGTTTGATGATAGAACTCGGTTCTGGAATGATGCAGCAAGTGAAATCCTTATTTTTGAGACAGATTTTCTCTGTAGCTCTGGCCTTCTCTGAGGGCCAGGATTAACAGTGTGCCACTACCGCCTGGCCCGTTTCATTAAAAGCTGAGCGGCAGTAAAACCCGAGAAATCCTGGCTCTTGGAACCAACTCCTCCCACGATGCAGGTCCCAGAACCAAGCTGTAGCTTGGCAGCAGGTGCCTCACTCCGGAGCCGTCTCCACAGCTGGAACAGGAGTGCTGGGAATTACAGCACCGATGCTCAGACTAGTGTAACAGAGTGCTCGGCGCCAGATGGGGGCTGGGGTGGGCTGAACAGGTCAGTCACTGAGCTATGCTTGGGCTCCCTGAAATCTTGTTTAAGACCCGGTCTCTCTACATACCCCTGCCTGGCCTTGAACTCAAGAGATCTCCGGCCTCTGCCTGCTGAGTGCTGGGGTTAAGGGCGTGCACCACCACACCAGGCTCCCAAGCAGTCTTTCCAAGAGGTCCAGTGGCTCACTGCACTCTCTAAGAGAGACCCAAATGGTATGGTAGCAGCCATGTAGTTTAGTGACTAAAACAGACTGGGCAATTTAGAGTCCTACAACTTGCTTGGGAGGTGTTAAGTCATGGTAAGTTAGAGGGGATCATCACGTGGGTTTTTTTTTTGTTTTTTTGTGAGACAGGATTTCTCTGTGTAGCCCAGGCTGGCCTCCAGCTCACAGAGATCCGCCTGCCTCTCTCTGCCTGGATTAAAGGCGTGCTCCACCACTGCCCAGTCACTTGAGGCAGTCTCACTACATAACCCTGGCTGGCCTGAAACTTGTGTGTGAATCAAGGTAGCCTTGAACTCATGAAGATCCATCTACTTGGCAAGCACAATCACCCAAGGCTCTAAATACACTTTAGCTCTGGGGTTGGAGACATCTGTTAAAGGCCCTCGCTGCTTTTGCAGAGGACCTGGAGTCGCTTCCAGCACCTTTGAGCTTTCATTTGGCCCTTAACTCCAGCTCTAGGGCACCACACATTTTCTGGCTGCTCTGGGCCGCACTCATGGTATATACTCACACACAATACATCTAAAAATAAACTTTTACTTACAATTACTTTCAAACTTGTTTTAAATTCTGAGCAAGCAGACACCTTGGAAGATAGTAGCTCCACTTTTCAGGCCAGAAAAGGAAGCCATGCCCCTTACCTTAGATCAAGGGCCTCCTACATATTAGGGAAGCACTCTGACAACCCCTAGGGGTCCCTCATTTAGCATGGTACCCACAACAAGGCATTTTTGGTTACCTCATCTCCCAATGCTCTACAACAGCAGTTACTGACCTCTGGAAGATTCTGGAATCCACTCACCTTGTAACCAGTATGTTCTGAGGCACTGTTAAATTTTTCTTTCCTTTTCCCCCTTGAGAAAGGGTCTCACTATGTATCCCTAGCTGTCCTGGAACTTGCTCTGTACACCAGGCTGGGAATGAATTCAGAAATCTGCCTATCTCTGCCTCCCAAGTGCTGGAATTAATGGCATGTGCTACCAGCACCCAGCTCTGGCTCTTGTCATTATTTCTAACAAGTTTCACAGTGAGCCAAGGTTACAGGAAATCTCAAGGGAATAGTTAAGAAAGTGGACCCCTGGTATGTGTTTTTGAGACAGGTTTCTCTGTGTAGTTTTGGTGCCTGTCCTGGATCTCACTCTGTAGACTAGAATGGCTTCGAACTCAGATCCGCTTGTCTCTGCCCCCCAGTGCTGGGATTAAAGGCGTGCACCATACTGGTGTGGGTTTTAAGGAAAGGCTGATAGGGGAATTTCCAAGGCCATCCTGAAAGCCAGGGTGAAATTTAATGGGCAATTCCCGGATACATTTTTTGTTTGAGCCGTTTCTGTGTGTGGCCCTGGGTGTCCTGAACTCTACAGCAGGACTCAGGATCTCTGCTGCCTCCGTCTCCCAAGCACTGGGACTAAAGGGGTGTAACACAAGGCCCAGTTTATCACTAGGGAACAACCAAGACTAAACTTCTAGTCTCTTCTAGCACAGAATGCTAGATCAATGCTCATAAAAGCAGGCTGTCCTCACGTGAGAGGCACGGGGTCCAAGAGGGTGTGTGTCAGCACCATGGAGTTCTGAGCACAGTGGGAGTGTGTGTATGGTTATGAGGCATGTGTCTTCCTAGCGTAGACAACCCCCATCTTAAACAGCAGGTCAGGGTTCAAACGGCACCACACCGACTCAGGACAGGCAAGCCTGACCAAAGCGGACACTGACGTCACACCATGACCTCACAGCACAAGACCGCACGCCGCTTTCGTCACTTCCTAACCACATTTCATGTCTGAGGAGTAAGCTCCCAGGCTGGGGGTGCACACACCTGTAATCTCAGCACCTAGGAGGATGAGTCAGGAGGATTGCTATGGAGTTTAAAGCCAGCCAGGATTGTACACAGTAAGACCCTGTCCTAAACAAACAATAAATTAAAAAGTAAAAACCAAGCCTCTTTCTTGCAAACTCAGGTATGCCCCTGGTCTGGTCCACTGCTTTAGTCTTGAAGCGGTGGGAAGGACGTTTGGGCTATGTGCCCACCCAACATAAGACACCAAGACATCAGGCAGGACGAAGCAGGGCAGCCACTTTCCATGGAACTGGGCTGTGCTGAGGTTCACAATGCTCGGACCCCGCTGTCTTTCTCCTGGCCTCTTCCTTCCAGTGTGTGAAGGCAGAAATCATCTTCTCTGAAGATACTTGGTCATCTGAGATACAAAAGCACTCTTCCAGTGCACCGCGCTTTTGGAACTCCTAAGGGAGGAAAACAGCTGCATCATCAACACAACCTGGACTGAGAGCAAGGACAGCAGTGACACAAGTACCCCAGGGTGAGGTCCTCTCATCACCACAGCCAACTAGTCCTCAAATTCTTTCTCAAAGTAGTTTTTGATGGGATTCCTCCTCCACTGCAGGCTAAATGTCCACAGCAACACAGATGTTTTCTAGCCTGTAACCTAACAGGGACAGCCTCATCAGGTGTTGACCCTTCTCGACAGGTCAACATGCTCGTTCCCATCTTAACAGGACTCTCAAGTACCAGCACACACAGGAAGAACTCTTCTAGAAATGCTAGGGACTAAGAACTTGTATCTGTAGTTAGTTCTTGACCACTAACCATACCTCCAGCTCACAGAGGGACTTTCAATGGACAAGCATGACCCATGAAAAGTCAAGACCAGGGGCTGACAAGATGGCTTAGTAAGAAAGACGTTTTGCTACCAAGACTGAACTACTCAACTTTGATCCTTGGAACCAATATGGGAGGAGAGAACCAACCCCCACCCCAAGCTGTCCCTGACCTCCACATGAGCATTGTGCTACCCGCACACACACACGGGGGGGGGGGGGGGGGGGGGGGGGGGGGGGGGGGGAGGAAGAGGGGGGGGAAGGGAGGGAGGGGGAGAGGGGGAGAGAGGGAGGGAGAGAGAGAGAGAGAGAGAGGGAGAGCGCGCACACACACGAGCAGGTCTGCAGCACAGCCTCACCTGGTCCCAGTCTAGTTCAGCTGGCGGATGAGCTGATTGATGCGTTCACCCCGATAGCCAGGAGAACCCATCTCCTTGAGGAACCCCACTCTGTTCTTGGTAGCATGCCGGGCCACGGAGAGGTGGAAAGGGCACAAGAATGAGGAGATCTCCTGGAAATGCTTCCCCGGGAAGGCGATTTCATGGATGAGGTCTTCCAGGCAAATAACACCAAATCTCCCTGAGAAGAGAAGGGCATCGATTCCTCTGTCCATCATCTAGCCAGAATACAGGAAGTGCCCACATGGCAACTGGGACTGCAGGGCCCAATGATATGTATGCCCTGGACCCCAAACCACAGCTGCCAACACCTGGCTTTCTACCCAGCTGACCCCACAGCCGCACTCACCCAGGTGCTCCTCAATCACTGTGTTGTCTGTCAGAGCGACAGTCTTATTGTTAATCCTTGCTTGTCCACGTTTCAAGATGAGTTCCCGGACAGACTTCAGATTTGGAAATCTATGTAAGGCACAACACAGCATCCTGCATTACACTGGCCTCAGTTCTGCAGCTGGCTGAGAGGATTTAAAGGGCCCTCCCACCCCAGCTTCCCACAACCAGGGAGTGAACCACAGTCACATTTTAGCTGGATTTTCGGGAGAAATAATTGACAGGAAGGATGAAAAACTGGGGTGGATACCAGGCACAGTGGCTCGTGCCTGCCACGCTAGCACCCGAGAGGCTGAGGCCGGAGGATCCTGGGCTGCACAGTGAGTCTGAAGTGAGCTTGGGTTGTCCAGCAATACTTTGACTCAAGTAAGCTAAAAGCAAACCAACCCAGCAGCCAACAGAAAACCCCAGAGCAGCCCGAGCATACAATTAGACATTTAGATGTTTCTTTGAGACCAGGTCTTATTCTTGTAGCCTATGCTGGCCTCAAACTTGCGGCAATCCTTCTGTCTCCGTCTTTGGTGCATAGGATTCTGGGCCTGAGGCACCATACTCAGTTCTAAATTTGGTTTGAGAAAGAGTCTTACAGCACAGCCCAGGCTGACCTGGAATCTGCAGCAACCTCCCTGTCTCTGCCTTCCAAGTTCTGGGACTACAGGTGCAGGTGCGAGGCACCACTCAGCGAAGTCCACACTTCACATAAGCACTGCAGTACCCTGGCTTCGGTGTTGATCTCTCTGTCACTCATTTCACTTAGTGTGAATCTACAACTGAATACGCCCTGAAATGATTCTGTTGGGACCATCAGCAGCATCCCTGGGCCTTCTTTCCTCATACCCCAAGGTTCTCTATTTCTGGTGACTGGCCAAAGCAAAATGCCCAACACAACACCAATCTTGGAGAACAATACCCCATGTGTCTTAAACACTCAAAGTCAAGGGAATTAATTCACACGGAGAACTATACTCACCCCCAGGTCACGTAAGGCTCCACTGTGCGCAGCATTTTCACACTTTGAGGGGTGACATGGACAAAGACACCACTGAACAACTTCTTCAGGCGAAGTTTTGCTATGGTCTTCTGTACCAAGAGACTCACTCCTTCTGTCCTGAAGAGAACAGCCGTCAGTGTCTGACTCCAGTCTATGCTAGTCTGTCTGTCTGTCAATTCTGAGACACACGACTATTTACTAGATACACAGACTCCACCTTAGAGCTCAGTGTACTGAAAGGCAGATTGGAAACAGATCATTTTCCCATTATGTGGAGCAATTCCTGGATACTGAAGGACAGTCTCTGAATGGCAGACTGGCACGGCAGGAGAGTGGGCTATGGTATTAAGTGTGTCTATCTAAGGAATCACTTCAATGGGTGGGTAGTAAGAGCAAGAAACATGTTCAGATTTCTTTTTGACTGTTGCCTCTAGGGCAGACCTGAGGCTGACCTCAGAAGCAGGGAAATCCAAATCCAGGAAAGAGATTATGGGCAGTGGCAGGAAGGTTAAAAGAGGGCAGGGCTGTAAATACTTAAATCTCAGAGGTTTTATATCAAGAAGCACACAGCTGTATTTGATGGGAACAAATACAAAATCCTGCTAAGTATGGACACTGCTTCCTAGTACTGTATATCCTGCAGTGTCAAACCCTTCACCAGGATATATGCCCCGAGCAACACTGGACCCTTCATGTCTTTTGTTTCTCTGATTCAGTGCTGGGATTAAAGGCACGTGCCACCACGCCTCGATGACTCTGTCTACTTTTGTGTCTTGTGTCAAGTTGCTGTTCCTGTTTTAGAAAGAGTATCACCGAACAATCCTGACTTCACCGAGTGTCTGCATCACAGACAGACCTTATTCCACCTGTTGTCCTAACAGCACCCCCAGCACAATTTGCTGTAGCAGGTTAGGCTTTACCTCCTATCTCCCTACACAGACATCTAAAGAGAACCCAACAGTTCACCCACCTCAGGGACTCTGAGAAGACACTGGTACCCTACCTTTCCATGCGTATAACGAAGGCCAAGGAATGTTTATCAGGTACTTCCAATGCACGAGGTTTCACTTCTAGTCGCCGGACACGCACCTTGTCACGCTGTTGCCGCCAAGAATCATGTACGAATGATTCCAGTCGCTTAAACCTGAATTCTTTTGATTTCCCCTAAGACAGAAGACAGGCATCACCATCTCTTCCACAATTAACGCAGGAGCCACGGAAAAGAAACACTTTTAGCTGCATGTGTTGGTGCACACTTTTGATCCCAACACTGGCAGTCTAGTAAAGGCAGGCGGATCTCTGTGAGGCCAGCCTGGTCGACTAAGTTCCAGGACAGAGAAACCCTGCTCCCCTGCCTCCACCAAAAAAAAAAAAAAAGAAAGAAATACTTTCACCATTACATAAGGAAACACGAGGAACCCAAGTAAAGGTAGAGCTAAGAAAATTTAGATATTACGAAGAAAAGCTTGTGGTAAACTAGTTTATATGTTGTTAACAATTACTTTGTTTATGATACCCAACAATGTTTTAGGGATCATTAAATACAATAGGTCTTTCTTCTGTCCTCAAAAACTTTGTATATACTTTGTGCACAGTCCACATATGCACATCATTCTAAATAGAATAAACATTAAAAATTGTTGGATACTTTTGGTTTGAGACAGGTTCTCTGATCTGCTAGTCTGAGGCCAGACTGGTCACATGGATTTCCAAATCAGCCAGAGATACACAGAGAGGCCCTGCCTAAGGAAAAAAAAAAATATTTTTTCCTGCCAAATTTGGTCTTTCACCACTTAATTTGAATTCAGAAAGTCTTCACTTTTCCCTTAAATACTATTCCAGCATTTTGCTCACAGAAAGATGTTAGGTTAATCTTTGCTAAATGGAGACCTGGACTACACTGTTTAGGGGAACAACTGGGGGTTGTTCTGGGAAAGTCTGCTAACAAATCTAGTTCAACATATGCTCAATAAAATGCATCCACTCCAAAGTCCATTATCCCGCACCCCCTGCTCCCCAGAATTACCTCCCTCTTTGCCAGAAGGGCCTGCTTTGCCTGGGTTGCTTTCAGAGCCTGATACGCCTTCCTCTTTTTCAGGAGATTTTCCGGAACCAAAGGGATCTTTTTTCTCTCCCTGATAAGGAAAAATCGACATCAAGGAAAATTACGAAATGAACATTCAATGGCTTTCCAAACCAATTCAGGATCCTGTTCTTTTAGGAACATGTCAGTCTTTTCCAGATCGTCCGGAAACCAGATCGATCTTCACCGTAGACCTGTAAAGCTCATTCGTCCCGAAAGCCTTAAAAACAAGGACACCTTTGGTCCCTGGGTTCGTGCAGGTCCGGAGAGCTTCCACACCTGTAGCCTGTCACGGACACTGACAGCGAGGAAATCCTGGTAAAATCCGGAAAAGTTTGGGGCGGTTACGGATCCACCAAGGAGAATTAAAGCCAGGGTGGGGTGGGGGAGAGACTTGAAGGGAAGAGGTTGCGGATAAGGGGTAATGGGGAGGCTGTCTGATCACGACACACGTGTATGGAACTGTGAAATGCACACTTATGGCAGCCAGCGAACCCACCTCGGGCACTCCCCAGCCACTGAGTTTCCCGAACCTGAGTTTCCTCACTCGCTGTCTCAAAAGTCGCTCCAGATACCCGAACCTCGGTCGCGGCCGCTCCGCAATCCCCAGCCTACAGCATCTCAGTCCCCACCTTTGCTGAGTAATATGAGCCTTTTTCCCCTTTCCGCACCCCACAAGCACCCTGTGGTATCACCGGAGTATAGACAGACAGGATGGCATCGGATACTCAAAGCCCGTTCGAGAGCTTCAACGACCCAAACACTCACCCTTCCTCCGCCATCTTTCCGGTGCTACAGCTACTGCTCATGCGCAGTCTGACTGGGCGGGGTAGAGAGGCCCGCTCTATGGCTCCTTGATCATAGAGACGCCGCTCTCGCCCACTCTGGAGGACCCTGGCCGCCTGCGATCCCTTAGCAGCTGTGAACTTCAGAGAAATAGTCTTGGTAGCCCTGAATCCAGCCAGAAAATTCCATTTTCCTTCGCATCCCTTCCAAGCTTCCTAGAGTCTATGACATTCATCAAGATGCAGCCCTTTTCAGTTAGGCTGTAGTGTCTGGAACGCGGCCGTTTGGCTGCGAACAGGAAACGCTTCCCACAATGCACCTGCACTTCCGGTACGGACTCTCCAGGACTCCGCAGGACGGCGGGCGTGCTGAGGGGTGGTGTTTTGTCTCCACGGAGACTCGAGAGACCGACATGGTGCTCACATTCGGGTCGGATTATTTGTAGAGGCTTTGGGGGAATAAAAAGGTGGTGTCTCGGACTCTGAGCTTTTGAGCCTCCTACCTTTCTGCTCCTCGGCTCCCTCATCCATGCCCGGAGTAGGAGGACTTCCCGGGTAGCCGCTAGAGGGCTCTATGAGATTTATAGTGTTGGCACACTGAGAGCCTTCCCGTGTGTAAGTCTCGCGGAATGTACTCACGTTGGCACGTGTCTAGCACGGTGCGTTCATTGATGCTATAGTCTAGGACAATGCATTATTTGACCTCACTGGAAGCCGTCACCACAGACTTTATCCTACACCTTTGACTTACTGTTCCCTTAACTAGGTTGAGTGCTCTTTGAGGACACAAGACTTTTCTTATTTCCTCCGTGTCTCTTCTACACCACCTCACTACAGTGAGGATCTGCAAGGAATTGTTAAGTTCCTGCGGCTTGGGGCATCATTTTGGCCCACACTAAGGAACTAGCCCACTCAGAAAGCTAATGCCATCGCCAGGGGCTCATTACCAGAAGAATATCAAAGGGGAGTAACTGGCTAGAGAGGTTCAGCTGTTAGGGGACCCAGGTTTAGTTTCCAGCACCCACACGGTGGCTCCCAACCACCTATAACTATTTCCAAAGGCTCCGATGACCTCTTCTGGCATCAGGCACCAGGCACACAGCGGCACAGACATACATGCAGGCAAAACATGCATACACATGAAATGCAAATAAAAGATGCTGGGCATGTTGGCACTTGTCTTTAATGCCAGCACTCAGGAGGCTGGCGCAGGTGGGTCCCTGTGAGTCCAAGGGCAACTAGTTCTACGTAGTAAGACCTGTCTCAAAAACAAATGTGAAAGTCAAAAGGGGCAGTAACACAGTGTTGTCACGGATGGTGGCCTGAGGCTAGTCCTCTTAGTACCTTAACCATGTGTCTTTGTAAAGAGAAGACTTACCAAAGTGCAAGTCATTCAGTGGGCAAAGGTAAAGCAACAGTATTTTGTAACTTTCTGTAGATCAAAGTTAGATCCTATCATATTGACATTGTCAAGGGAAGAGGAATTCAGTGTCACCAACAACTCCCCACTAATTGAATGGGACATTTATGTTCTCAAAGCAAAGCCACCTCTCCACTGTTCTGATCCAGATACTGGTTCCTTCCAGGTTCCCTGCCCTCCCTCATCCCCACCACACTGAGCACTGACCATGTGGCTAGTACTGGGGAAGACACAACACGCTAGTGAGAATGTGGCATTGATACTTAACAGTCTTAGGAATTTTACTCTTTTTAACCTCAAAAGTTCTGCTCTTGATGTTTCAGCTGTCCTCTATTAGAGAATGATTAAATTGGGGGAGATTGAGCAACTGTAAGCAACCATATGGGTTTTCAGGTCCTGAAATCTTCTGTGGCTGTTTTTATTTTCCACTACCAGTGGTCATTCCCATGTCCTAACACTATTCCGCTCCAGTGTGAACTGCTGGCTCACTTGTCAGAGTTACATCTGCAGTCCCAACTCTACATCCATCGTCTTCCTTAGCGTGTGATCCTCCTTGTGGTCCACCTCACTGGCTTTCAAGTTTTCCTAGTTGTTTGCTGTGCTGGCTGGTTTTATGTCAATTTGACACAAGCTAGAGTCATCAGAGAGGAGGGAGCCTCAGTTGAGAAAGGCTTCTATAAGATCCAGCTGTAAGGCATTTTTAAAATTAGTGATCAGTGGGGGAGGGTCTACCCAGCCCATTGTGGGTGGTGCCACCCCTGGACTGGTGGGCCTGGGTTGTAAAGAAAGCAGGCTGAGCAAGCCATGAGGAGCAAGCCAGTAAGCAGCACCCCTCCATGGCCTCTGCATCAGCTCCTGCCTCCCAGTTCCTGTCCTGCATGAGTTCCTGCTCACACTACTTTTGATGATGACTGTTAATATGGAACCGTGAGGGAAATAAACCTTTTCCTCCCTGTGAGGGCTGTTCTTGGTTGTCAGCTTGACTGTATCTGGAATGAACTACAATCCAGAAATGGAGGGCACACCTGTGAGAGGTTTTCTGCTTGGTTTGAAGTGGATGAATCCACTTCTAGTCTGGACCTTTGAGGTAGGAAGACACACCTCTGATCCAGATCTTTTTTTGTTTTGTTTTGTTTTTTGTTTTTTTTGTTTTTGTTTTTGTTTTTGTTTTTCGAGACAGGGTTTCTCTGTGTAGCTTTGCGCCTTTCCTGGGACTCACTTGGTAGCCCAGGCTGGCCTCGAACTCACAGAGATCCGCCTGGCTCTGCCTCCCAAGTGCTGGGATTAAAGGCGTGCGCCACCACCGCCCGGCCTGATCCAGATCTTGAGGTGGGAAGACACACCTTTAATCTGGGCCACATCTTCTGCTGGAAGTCTATATAAGGACATAGAAGAAGGAAGCTTTTGCTCTTTGCCTGCTTGTCCTCACCTTGCTAGCTCATCCCTTCCTTCACTGGCATTGGCGCCTACTTCTTTGGGATTCTAGTGTATACTGAAGAACAACTGAGACATCCAGCCTTGTGGGACTGAGCAACTGCTGAATTCTTGGACTTTCCATTCACAGCTAGTCATTGCTGGATTAGTTGGACTGCAGCCTATAAGTAATTCCAATACATTCCCTTTACACATACACACACACATACACACACACACTTCAGCTGACTGGACATCTGAAGCCTTCCTCTGGCGTCTACTGGAAGAAAGCACGTGGGGGGGAGCAGGTTTTGGGGGGTGGAGGACAGACACAGGAAACTGGGAGAGGAGGCAGACAGTGGGTGACAAGTTAAGCTCAAAACAAAAGAGAAAAGCCCAAATTGTCAGGGACAAGGACAGAATCTCTAGTTAGTGGAAAAATACAGACCCCCATAAGACAGGGAACTAGATCATCTTACAGTCAGGTTGCCTAGCAACAGGACATTGAGGCAGAGCCCTTGACCCTTTCAACCTGTGGACATCCTATACAAACATCCTGTTAGCTTGCCCTACCTTATGCAGATGACAGCTTCTTGCTCCCCCGACCCTGCAGGAACTATATAAACCCTCCTGGAGAAAAAAAAGTGGCACCTTGATCAGAATCTAGACTTGGTGTATTTCCTTGTATCTCCTGTCCCTATCATTCCGTCCTTAGGGTGGTCAAAAACCCGTTGAAGGCCTGCAGGCAGGACAAATTGCCTCCAAGTTATTTCAGATTAATGGAGCATTGGCTCTTTACGATAATCTGTCCTTCAGTTACACCCCATATTATACCCCAAACACAGGGCCAGGACAAACTGTCCTGCTTAATGGGCAAAGAAACTGAGGTGGAGAGCAACTTGTGTGGCTGATTCCAAGGGAAGTGAGGCCCTGGCCTCCATTTGACTATGTTGTCCAAGGCCTTCCTGCCTGCCCAGTCACTCTGCTCCCAGGACCTTCACAGCAACATTTTCCCTAAGTGATTTAAAACAACAACAACAAAATTTGTTTTATTAGTTTTATGTGTTTTTTTTTTTTTTCTGCATGTATGTATGTGTACCACACATGTGTCTGATGCCTGCAGTGCTCAGAAGAGGGCATCAGATTCCCTGGAACTGGAGTTACAAATGGGTGTGAGCAGCCTTGTAGGCTCTGGAAATTGAACCCAAGTCCTCTGCAACAGTTCACTCTTAACCCATGAGTCATCTTTCCAGCCCTAATAATTACAATTTGTTTGTTTGTTGTTGTTTTTCAAGACAGGTGTAGTACGAATTCTAATAGGTCTTAAAAATAATAATAACCTGGAGCCAGATATCAGGGTATGCAGAAAGATCAGAGAAACAAAGGAGCAAGCCACAGCTACCTCTTACCTCAACAACTCCTCAGCCAAAAAGGGGTGACCTCCTGTCTCCTCCCACCTTCTATTCCTCTCTCTGCCCAGACATATCTCCATAGTGCTGGAATTAAAGGTGTGTGACTCCACTGCTTGGCCTCCATGGTTAACTAGTGGCTAGCTCCACACTCTGATCTCCAGGCGAACTTTATTTGTTAGAGCACAAACAAAATATCACCACATTTCCCCTTTTTTTTATCTAAAATAAAAATAGAGGGCTGGAGAGATGGCTCAGAGGTTAAGAGCACTGCTTGCTCTTCCAAAGGTCCTGAGTTCAATTCCCAGCAACCACATGATGGCTCACAACCATCTGTAATGAGATCTGGTGCCCTCTTCTGGCCTGCAGGGATACATGCAGACAGAACACTGTTTACATAATAAATAAATCTTTAAAAAAAAAAAAAGAAGGTTCTAACTAATATAAGAAAAACTATATACAATAAGTACAATAACTATATACAATATATACAGGCAATAATACATTAAGTGTCTAGTCCATTAACAATAGACAAATTCAGAGAAAATACTCCATATCTATTCTATCTTGGTGAGCCAAAAAGGTTGTACCTAATTCACTTTCTATTCTAACTTACATTACCAAAATTATCTTTTAATGTCTCTCAAGTTTATACACTTTACACTTCTTTAGTGTACTTCTTTTCTGAATCTGGTAACAAGGAAAACTATAACTATAAAGTTTTCAACTCCATAAGAGACCCAAGAATGAAATAATATTACCTGAGTAAGCAGGAAGTGCAAGCAAGCAACTTCCAAAAACATGTAAGAAATGACAAACAGCTGGCTGCCTGGACAGTCACCCAAGGTTCCTCTGTAACATTGGGTTATCCCTCTTTGACCTACAGGCCTAACATATATGACGGACTTTTCTGTGAAGCAGGTTATTCTAAAGGGTTGTCCTACCTTGTCTTGGCAAAATTCAGCAGTCCTTTATTTTGTGTCCTGCTTATCCAATTTGGACAGAGTTACTGTCAGCAGTTGAGGCAAGGACACTTTCTTGCCCAGTGGCTAACTTTTGCCACAAAGAGTAAAC